CAAGTAGGCAGAGAGGCAGGCTGAGAGAGAGGGGGAAGCAGGCTCCCTGCTGAGCAGAGAGCCCAGTGTCAGGGCTCGATCCCAGGACCCTGAGATCATGACCTGAGCCGAAGGCAGAGGCTTTAACCCACTGAACCACCCAGGCGCCCCTCCCTGTGTTGTTCTAATGTAGTTTGTTTCCAAGGGTTGAAAACCACTGGCCTAGACAGTGGTTCTTAATATATTTTTGGAAGAACAGGAGGCAGAAAAGGCATCTGGGAAGCTTTTCCCAATTGCCCGTGCCTGCCCCCTCTATCAGCATCTTAGTGAAGGGGCTGTACCTACAGGTTAAAAAGCCTGATTCTGATCTTCCACGTCGCTGCAGAGTCATTGGTGTGGTGGAGCTCCAGGGCCCGCATTAACATTCTTTATTATGTAACATCAGCTCCACACAAGAGAATAAATGTAACTTAAAAGTATCTTAAGCAGAATAATAATAAAAGACCTCATGACCCCACTGAAATCCTGGACCTTTACAGACACAGTTGGTGTTACTTGGCATCCTTCCTCCTTCCCGCCCCCTGCCTCCCCCCGCGGGAGATAAGCGCCTTCTTCAATGGCGTCTGCCTTATTAACAAGCAGGTGGTCTTGACGCTTTGCTTCCAGGAGACGCAGGTTCTGGGCCGGGGGAGGGCAGGGCCTGCAGGTTGGGAGGGTGTAAGAAGGCGGGGAGGAGGATCAAGGGCCCGGCTGTAAGCACGGGGTGCAGAGCCCGGGGAGCCAGGCAGAGCCTGCCACAGCCTCTGAAAGCAGGCAAGGCGTTAATAGTGCTAGAGAAATCCCTTTAGACCCAGTACAATGGAGACCCAGATGCTCTCGGAAGAGCCAGGCTTTCAACTGTTTTGTTCTCCCAGCCCCGGCTGCTGCTGCCGAATTGACAGGCACGCAATAGCTCAGGGGGTGCAGGGTTCAAGGCTCCGCAGATCTGTCGGACAAGAACAAAAAGATGCAACTTGATCTCTCTTTCTCTCTAGGCTAATCACTAGGGTGAGCCATTCCTTAGGATTAATATTCTATTATAAACCCAGATGCTTAAAGTGAATCAACTGCTACTTTCCTTCTAATGTATACAAAGTAGGTCAGCGTAGGTCTAGCAGGGAGCACAGCCTCTGAACAAGCGCCACAGACTGTGTGAATAATTAAATGGACATGGGTCCCTGAAGTGGCACTGCAACAGTAGCACGTTTTCTGTCCCCAGGAGACTGTGGGTGCCCCGAGGAAAGAGGGTGCCCAAGTGCCGGGCTGTGGGAGCACCAGGGGTAGGGGAGATCGGGAGTGGAGGGGTGGGAGTACCACAGCAGGAAACCAGCTCTTGGGAGGCCAGGAGACAGAGGCAGAACTTGGGGCAGGGTCTACAGATGGGATCCAGGAGAAACTGAGTCCAGGGGAAACTGTGGGAGAAACCACGCTCAGTCTGAGGGCTGGGGCACAAGGACATCACGATCCAGTCTTGCTTCGGGGATGGAGAGAACAAAGGATAGGTTTAAGTGACACCGGTGGCCAGGAGCATGGCTTGGGACCCATGGGCCCATAAACACTCCACAACTAGAGCCTGACATGCACATGGAAGGGGCTAAAACAGCACAGGGGCTTTTCTGAGTTTTCCGGAGGAGATGCACGTGCTGAGGTTTCCATCAGCTATAAAGAGCTAAAGGCTCTCTGGGGAAAAGCTGTCACTGCTGGCTAATGAGGTCCCAACAGATGACGATGAGAAAAAATAAGATGAAGAAGGCCAGTGTGCCCTCTGAGAAGCTGGTAGATAGCATGGTGACAGCGTGGCATCTGACCTTGGACTAAAGGTCTCCCGGGCGGGGACAAAGCCACAACTTAGGGTGCCAGGTCTGAGCGCACTACAGAATAGCCCCCAGGCGCCTGAGTGGCTCAGTTGGTTAAGCAACTGCCTTCGGCTCAGGTCATAATCCCCGAGTCCCAGAATCAAGTCCCACATCGGGCTCCAAGTTCCACGGGGAATCTGCTTTTCCCTCCGACCTTCTCCTTGCTCTGCTCTCTCTCAAATAAATAAATAAAATCTTAAAAAAAAAAAAAAGAATAGATCCCAGCAGGGACCCAAGGGGTCATCAGAGTTATATTGCTGGTAAATACCATGGCCTCTCTAACTTTTCTGCTGGGAGTAGACCTTGTGACCAGTTTGGAAAACAATTTGGTGGCATCTCTTAAAGCTGAGCACACGTGTACCCTAGGATCCAGCAATTCCACTTCCAGGAATCCCCCCACCCTGAAATGGGTGTGTCCATTTGGGGAAAGAAGGACAGGAACATTCACAGCAACGGTGACTAGCAACCCCCAACACCCATTGGTAAGTACCATGTGGGACATCAAACTGCAAAGCACTCAAAGAGAGTAAAGTACAACATGAATGAATTGCACAAAATTAACGTTGAGCTAAGGAAGCTAATGCAAAGGCACAAACCACCTAATTTCATTTACATAAAGTAAACAGTCAGAACCCATCTATGTTGAATATATTAAAAACTATTGACTTCTACACTTTAAATGGGTAAATTGTATGGTGTGTGAATTATAGCTCAACGAAGCTGTTTTGGTTTCTGCTTTTTAAACTGTGGTATTACAAGTCAGGGTAGTGGTTATCCTTGGTAGGGTGCAGTGACTGGGAGGGGGCATAAGGAGGGACTTTGGTCTGGCAATGTGTGGCCTCTCGATCTGGGCGCTGGTTACAAGGGTGTGTCCAACGTGACCATTCCAGATACTCAGAATTTGTGCATGGCTTGGTACTCAGGCTATGCCTCAACAAAAATAGCAATGACAATGGCCACAAACCAAACAGGCCTGGCCTGGCTCCAGGACATGGGGAGGGGGAACTGGATATGCTCATTCCCTCTGGAACCATCCTGCCACTAGCATATCCTGTGAGAGGAGCCTGTAAAAGTTGATGGGGATGGGATGCCCCATTTCATCAGTGAAGCATTACCCACAGGTCCTAGGAATTCTCCGAAGAGAAAGTAGGAAGGTTTGCCTATGGCCTCACTTCTCTGGGCTCCGCCAGAGCAGGTGGATTTGGCCCCACGTGCTAGAGTACTAGTCCTGGGAGCATCCTTGTCTCAGAACAGGCTAGGCCATGGCCACTGTGACACCTCCCAGCCCAGTCTTTCAAGGATCTGGTCTGTTGCTTCTGGGCTGGGAAGGGGGGATGTCTTCAGGGAGACCTAAATGGCTAGCTGCCTGAGATGGGCCGGCCCTAGCGCAGTGACCCCAAGGCCAGCATCTACTTGCACTGGCCAGGCTCCCCGAGGGTGGGTTTGGAGAGCCTTGTCAGTCACTGGAAACTGAATCCCCAGGAAAATGGATCCTAGCAGGAGACACCTGAGCATGGGAGAAGGGCTCTCTGAGAACTCCAGGTAGAACAGAGGTGGGATATTAGGGTGCAGAGCCACTGGGGATTTGAGGCTGTGGGCCAAAGTAGGACAGAGGGCTAACTATAGTATAGTTAGTTCCGGGGAGTATTAGAGGCCAAAGCCTTTGGAAGTCAGACAGCATAAGGGGCTGCCTCTGGGGTCAAGGACTTGTAGTCCTTGAGATTCTGATTTAATTCTGCATTTTGCATTTAACTGACTGAGTGGCTCAGTCAGTTGACTCTCTGACTTCAGCTTGGATCATGATCTTGGGGTCTGGGCTCGAGCCTCATGTCAGGCTCCCTGCTTGGCAGGGAGTCTGCTTGTCCCTCTCCGTCTGCCTCTTCCCCAGCTTATGCTCTCTCAGTCTTGGACTCTCTCTCAAATAAATAAACTCTTTAAAAAGAAATCTTTGTAGGTGACTCTGATGCATAGCTGGGTACAGAGACCCAAACAGATAAGCATCATTCACTTATTCACTCAACAAACATTTACTGGGTAGCTACTCTGGTTCCTGGTCAGGGCCAGGCTCTGGGAAGACAGAACAATATGGTCAGGTCTTAAGAAGACCTTAAGAAGTTCAGTGTTCACGGAGAGTCTGGCATGGGACAGATAATCACAACGCAGAGGAATGGCAGCGAGAACAGAGGTTATGGGCACAGAATAAGGATAAAAGAACCCACGTGTGACTCTTTTCGCAAATTGTCATTTCCTCCTAATTCATTTGTTTCACAGGCCTGAATTTTTGTGTTTTGCATTCAGGAAAGTCCAGCAGCTCAGGCCCAGTTCAATAATTGCAAATATTGGTCCATGACCACTCGAAAAGAGGCCCGCCACCAGTTTTTTTTTTTTTTTTTCCCAGCTGTTTTTAAAAATAATGAACAAGCTAGGAGAGATAATACAAGATAGCTAGCTACGTCTGTTTCATAATTAGCTGCCATTAAAACCGTCTAGAAGGGGCGCCTGGGTGGCTCAGTGGGTTAAAGCCTCTGCCTTCGGCTCAGGTCATGATCCCGGGGTCCTGGGATCAAGGCCCGCATCAGGCTCTCTGCTCAGCAGGGAGCCTGCTTCCCTTCCTCTCTGCCTGCCTCTCTGCCCACCTGTGATCTCTGTCAAATAAATAAATAAAATCTTAAAAAAAAAAAAAACCATCTAGAAGAGGCATATCTCTTTGTCTCTATCTTTGGGGAATTCATTTAGCTTATCACACCTAAGGGAGTCCATCAGATCCATGCCTCACTCCCGTCACACACATGCACAGTAACAAACACCAGCGAATTCTCTTCTTCTAGGCCGGCATGACATGACACAGAAACGTAAACGTAAAATCAGTGTCCGGCCTCAGTTCATAGGTAGTAAGTGATGGGATCAGTAAAACAGACCTGCATTTTTAAGCCCGACTGCTTTTCGGTAGTCATGGAGATCTAGGACATGTAGCCTGGAATTCCCTATGTCAGTTGCCACAGTGGCCCCGGGAGAGCACCCTTCTCCTTTTAGCAACACAGAGGGGGGCCATCCTGTTCACATGGGTCTAGGCTGGAGCAGCCCCACAAACGGAAGAAGCCAAAGGGAAGCAAACAGGAGCATTACCTTGGTCCCATGGTAGAAGTCGTCCACACACGTAGCATTCATGAAGGTCTGATGGAAGTGGGTGCTGGTGTCAATGCCTCCAGGGATCACCAGCTTCCCAGTGGCATCGATCACCTTGGCCCCGCCAGGGATCATGAGCTCACGGCCCACCTGCTGGATGATGCCATTCTCTATGTAGACATCAGCCTCGTGGGTGCAGTCATCGTTCACCACCTTGCCTCCCTTGATGAGAATCCTCACGTTGCCTGAATTGGCAAGCATGTTCCTATGAAAGGTGAGAGGAAGGCACTGGTCAAGGTCAGAGTCCCGTTTCACTGTAACCAAGGTCCTACTTCTTCCTTCAGAGCCCAAACTCCATGGGCAGAGTAAGTGAGCAGGGAAGGGGAGGAAGTTTCTCCACAGCCTAAGACATCGGTCCTGCAGTCGACTGGGGTCCCAAGTCTCCCGCTGGGATTTACTGGGAAGCATGACACACACAGCGGCAGTGAGGAGGAAATCTGGGGCCCAAAGAAACATCAATGTAGGTTCAAAAGCATTTCCATATTGTTTTATTCTCGAAACAACCCGAGGAGCTGCATTTTACCAATGAGAAAGCGAAAATTGCTAAGTAAGGAATCAATGGCTTCTAAGCAGCCAAGTCAACCCAGATGCTTTGCATGACCAATGTCCCCATTATACCATATGGTCCCAAAGATAGCAGGGGCTCCTGGAGCATGTCTCTGTGAGCCAAATTCTCTAAGCCTTCCCGTTGTTTAATTCATGTCATTCTTTAAACAGATTCTGCTTCAGCTCACCCTCCCATCCTTCCTCAAGGCTACTACCACACCAGACCCCACAGCGGGCTGCACACTTAATTAGTTCATCTGTAGAGCTTTGGAAAAGCACCTAAAGCACCTTCACTCAAGCCCCAATCCCAAGATTCAGCTTTACTTGCTCCAGATTGGGTCCCCCAGAACAACTATTTTTAAAAAAGCTAGAGAACTTTACCATATGCTTAAAGAATGAATGCCAATCTCTCGCAGAAAGAAGGAAACGTTCCCAACTCATTTTGTAAAACCAGTATTACTCTGATACCAAAGCCAGACAAAGACAGTACCCAAAAAAGAAAACTATAGAGTAATATCCCTCATGCATATAGATACAGAAATTCTTAACGACATATTGGCAAGTGGAGTTCAGCAATATGTAAAAAGAATTTTACACCATGCAAATGGCATTTATTCCAGGCATGCAGTGTCGGTTCAATATTTGAAAATTTAATCAATGTAATCCACCATATTAACAGGCTAAAGAAGAAAAAATCACATAATTGTATCACTTGATGCAGAAAAAGCATTTGACAAAATCCAAACATCTATTCATGATAAAAGCTCTCAGAGAAGTAGGAATAAAAGTTAACTTCCTCAACTTAATAAAGAACATCCATGATGTTCTCACCTAGTTAGCTAACATCAGACTTAATGCTTAAAGACTGAATGCTTTCCCCTTACAACTGGGAACAAGACAAGGATGTCCACTGTTTTCACTGCTGTTCAACAAAGGGAGTTTTAGCCAGCTATTAAAAAATGAAGTGAGGGTGCCTGGTTGGTTCAGTCTGTTAAGTGTCTGCCTTCAGCTCAGGTCATGATCCCAGAGTCCCGGTATCGAGTCCCACATCGGGCTCCCTGCTCAATGGGGAGTCTGCTTCTCCCTCCAACCCTCTCCCCTCTCGTGCTCTCTCTCTCTCTCACTCAAATTAAAAAAAAAAAAGAAATGAAATAAAAGGCATATAGATCAAAAAGGGAAAAAAATAAAACTGTCCCTGTTTGCAGATGACATGATCATCTTTGGAGAAAATTCCAAAGAATCTACCAAAAAAAAAAAAAAAAATTCTCTTAGAACAAATAAATGAGTTTGGCCAAAATGCAAGATACAAGACTAACATACAAAAAGTTAGTTTTTCTATATACTAGCAATGAATACATGTGCATGCAAAAAAATTAAAATGCTTAGACATATATCTTTTTTTTTTTTAAAGATTTTATTTATTCATCCGACAGAGAGAGATCACAGAGGCAGGCAGAGAGAGAGAGAGGGAAGCAGGCTCCCCGCTGAGCAGAGAGCCCTATGCGGGACTCAATCCCAGGACCCTGAGATCATGACCTGAGCCAAAGGCAGCGGCTTAACCCACTGAGCCACCCAGGTGCCCCTGCTTAGACATAAATCTAAGAAAACATATACAGGATTTATATGCTAAAAACCACAAAACGCTGATGAAAGAAATCAAAGATCTAAGTGGAAAGATATACCATATTCATAGATTAGAACACCCCACAGGGTAAAGATACCAATTTTCCCCAAATTGATATATACTGTTTAATGCAAAAATCTTTTGTAGACAGAGGCAAGCTTATTGTCAAAGTTTATGTGAAATGACAAAGCTAAAATAATTTTGACAGAGGTGCTGGGTGGTTCATTGGTTAAGTGTAAGCCTTCAGCTCAAGTCATGATCCTTGGGCCTATGTCTGGCTCCTTGCTCAGTGGGGAATCTGCTTCTCCCTCTCTCTCTGCCTCTCCCTCTCTCTCTGTCTCTCCCTCTCTCTCTGCCTCTCCCTCTGCTGGGTGTCTTTCTCTCTCTCTCAAATAAATAAAAATTAAAAAATAATTTTGACAAAGAAGAATAAAATGGGAGGAATTAGTCTACCTGATTTCAAGACTTATTACATAGCTACAGTAATCAAAGCTGGGTGGTACGGGTGGGGGATAGATACAAAAGCACTGGAACAGAATAAAGATCCAGAAATAGCTCACGTCAGTATGGGCAACTGATTTTTGACAGAGGTGCAAAAAAATTCAACGGAGGAGAGATAGTCTTTTCAGCAAATGATGTTATCTTACACAAAAATCAACTCAAAATGGATCATCCCCTAAGTGGACCTCTTTGACCACTAACTATTCTCTTCCTCTTGGAGCTGATTCTCCAGGACCTAATCCAGTTATCCCCCTTTCTAAGAAGCCTTCCCCGACTCTCTCTGCCCCTTCATAGACTTCATGGCCCTGAGTCTCTCTGCACCTGTGTGCTAAGGTTCTCAAGGTCAAAAGCCTTATTAGTGATCATTGTTTCTGCTCCCTCTTCAGCCCCAGCCTCCAGTACAGGATACTTGAAACCAGTGAACAAATGAAAGAATGGCCTCATCTACTTGTTGTACCCCAACACGATCAAAAGGCTTCAAGCAATGAGAAGTAGTAGGCCGTTACGTATTCGTTTTCTGGGTATGTTCGGGACAATGCTCAGCTTTCATCCCTTTTCCAGTACCGGAAATTACTGTGGACAGAGCAGAGGACCCAACAGATTTCCTCTTATTCCTGTCATTTCATTTGCCTGCCACCAGGTAAGCTGTGAGGAGGCTGTCTCTCAGGATGAAAAGGCTTTAGAACCTGTTGAAGGAATATCTCTTGTAAGGAGATGGGTCAGCTATCTGGTGATCTTACCCTGCTCTCCTAGACACACCTGGTTAAGCAATTTTTGTCAAGCTGACCAGGCTGGAATGCATGGGAGTCCCGACACCAAGAAAGTTGGCTGGGGCCATTCAGGGTAGACCCTGAGGCTCTCCTGCTGTTAGGAGAGGCCAGTCCCTTGTGGGGCTGCTGCTGAGGGTGGCGCTGAGGAACAGGACAGGTGGTGGGAGTGAACCCCGTTCCCTTACACAGCAACAGCTGTTTCCCAGGAATACCTGCACCCCTCCCCATAGGTGTCAGTCCAACCTCTGGGGAGAAGGGGCCCTTCCCCTAGTGAGGAAGGTGGTGAGCAAAGAGGCCATGGGGAGTCAGGTGACAGAGATGGGAAGATGGGACAGTCGCTGCCACAAGCTCATTGTCTGAAGTCAGATGAAGCTGAGTATATTTGATCTTTTGTCCTAAAATCTGAAAACTGGAGTTTTAATATGCAATTAGGAAATGAATTTCTTCACAGGTGAGGGATACAACCATCCTGGCCAAAGGAAGCCCAGAAAGGCTGACAGATACAATCTCCCTGTCTCCCATTACACAGCCAAGGCCAAGGGTGACAGTGAAAGGAGACTTCTCAGTTTGCACTATAGGGAAGTGATGGTGGTGGTAGGGGTGGCCGAAAGAAGGCACCCCCACTTCCAGCCCCCTGTGCAAATATATAATCCTCACCTTTTAAAACTGCTCTAGGGCAAGAGGAAAAACAGCAGTATTCATGCTGGGAAACCGCTTATTGTTTCTGTCAGTGTTGTAAAGGGAATATTGATTTGCTTTAGAGCGCACACCTGAAGGGCAGGGGGAGGGGGGGTCCTTGGAAGGGTGATGTGATAATGAATTACTGGGAATTCCCATCTGAGCTTTGATGCTGGTATCAAACCCCGAGGGTGTCTTCTTCAGTAGAAATGAGAGCAATTGCTCTTAGTAAGCTAACACCCCGTGCCTGGCACACTTCACGTGCGTTCAGCCACGCGCCGACTAACCCCGAGAAGTAGGAACCTTAGTCTCCTTTTTAAAGAGGCGGAAACAGAAGTTTTGGAAATGAAAAGACCACACAACTCCGCAAGAAGGATCAGATTCATATTCATGTCTGAGTTAACAGAAAGGTTATCAGAGTTGGTTCTGGGTAGAAGAGTTACAGGGGATTTTTATCTTCTTCATGGTTTTCTGTATTTTCAAATTATAATAGGATAAAATTGGGTCCCCAACCCAAACTATCTTTTTCTTCTTTCTTGCAGAAATCCCTGACAGTTAACCTAGCTCTGAATAGACTAGATTCCCAGGATAACCTCAGAGGGAACTCCTTCTCATAACTCAGGGGACCCTATTAATGCTAAAAATCAGTGCACACCTACTGTATACTGGGGTCCTCACTAAACCCATCATTTGCCTTATCTTCTTTGATCCTTACAATGCCCTGGGATACGCAGCTTGATTGTGCCATTATCGCCCTGGGATGGCTGAGGCTTAGAAAAGTTAAAGGAACCATCCTCAAGGTCACACAGCAAGTTTGCAACAAAGTAGGGACTGAAAGCCAGACGATGCCCAGAGCTGTTGTGAACTGAATGTTTTGTTCTTCCAAAATCACACCAGACAGCCCTTACCTCCAGTGTGGCCGCATTTGGAGGTGAGGCCGCTGAGGAAGTTTCTCAGGTTAAATGAGATCATAGGGTGGGGCCCGGATCCCACAGGCTTAGTATCCTTATAAGGAGAGATGCCATAGGGCTCAGTCCCCCACCCACCACTAGGCCTTTTCATAAGGACTGAAAAAAGGCCAA